TTAGTGATTATCTCAATTTCGGCTAAAATAATTGAAAAAAATCCTACACACTGTTCCTTTAAAATACATTCAAAATGTTTAAAAATAAACTACAAACATTAATTTAAAGTGCAAATTAAAATATAGTTGTATCTGCAGCTGTATTTGATAACGTTTTTAACTTTTAAAATATTACATGATTGAACCAGAAGCTGTTCTTCATATTAGTGACAAACTTTGGTGTTTTTTGATGAGTTACTTTCATTTTTGCTTCTACTTTTAATTTAAAATAAGTTTCCATTCTCGGAGGTTTCTAAGGTTCTTCTTCATATTAAAAAAAGTTGTTAAACATCTGAGCAGAGGTATCAAGTAACTAAGTACAAATACTTTGTTACTTTACTTAAGTAAAAAATTTTGGTATTTATACTTTAGTGGAGTAATTATTTTTCAGCCTAATTTTTACTTCTACTTCTTAGATTTTAATTCAATTATCTGTACTTTCTACTCCTTACTTTTTAAAAATGCAAAACGTATTTCATTTCTATTTAACTTAACAGTTACAACAGTTGTTGTACAGTATAGTTTTGGAGAATCATCATTATGTTTGACTGAAGGGGCACTAGTGGTATTACAAAATGGCTTGGGGTAATAAAAAAGTCTAAAAATGTTGGGAACCACTGAGGTAGAAGATGTAGCCTAAAATGAAGATAACCGTGGCTGAAACAAGTAGTCCAGCCTGGCCCTTGCCTTCCCACGCAGTTCCGCTCAATTTTAGTTTCCCTTACCAGGCTAAGTCTAGTCAGTTAATTCCAGATTTTTCAACATTTTAATTTAACATAACACTCATTATTATTGACTTTAGAAGAAAAATTGTGTGTGTGTGTGTGTGTGGGGGGGGGGGGTGCTATAATCCCTGCGGCACAGCAGTTTTAAAACCAGTACTTTTATACTTTTACTTGAGTAAAAAGCTCAAGTTGATACTTCTACTTCCAAAAAAGTGTTTTTAAACCCTAGTATCTATACTTCTACTTGAGTAATGAATGTGAATACTTTTGACACCTCTGCATCTGAGTGGTGCACTACCACTACTAGTGGTGAGAAAGTTTATTGCACCTTATTCAAAATCTATGCGGTCTCACGGCCCTCTGTGGCCCAAAGTTAAAACTGTTGTTCTTTTGAGGCCCTCAAGGTGGCGCTCACGGCCCACATTTGGGCCGCGGCCCGTAGGTTAAGAATCTCTGATCTAAGTTATACATAAGACATAAGACTCATATTTTGAAACTTCACGTCAAAACCTCTTCCTGTTTACCTTTTTGGTGTCATCTTGTGAGACTGCAGAGACTTTTAATCAGTTTTAGAAGATTTACGGGGGAAGCCATAATAGATTAACTCAACAAGAAGGAACCCTCTTAACAAAATAAGGCCCTCTAAATCAGAATTTGCTTCTGGTTGCCGGTTGTGTAAAATTTTGTTTCTACATTCAGTATGTAGGAGATCTGACAGAAAGAGACTCTGACATCAGTGTTGATTGATAAAAAAGAAAAAAACTGTATAGGTCCTCTGGACGGGTTCTTCTCTAATGAAACGTTTCGTCTCTCCTCCAAGAGACTTCTTCAGTCTGAGAGTTTCAGGCTAAATTCAGGCTTTTAAGCCCTGCCTCCATGTGACTGATACTCACATCACATGGCTATCGTTGACAACTAATTAACATCTATTGTTAACATGGGGTGGAGTGATACTGGCAATAGCAGCACTGTAGGACGGGGACAACTGAAAACGGAGGCCTCCACCTCTGTTTAATGACGGACGGTCTTTCTTTACAAAAATGGCTCCTTTTACTCCTCTCTCAAACCAACGTTCCTCTCTATCAAGAATGAGAACATCCTCATCTCTGAAAGAGTGACCGCTGGCCTGTAAATGAGTGAAAACTGCAGAGTTCTGGCCATTAGATGTAGCTCGTCTGTGTTGGGACATTCTTTTGAACAGTGGYTGCTTTGTTTCCCCGATGTATAACTGGTCGCAGTCCTCCTGGCACTTAACAGCATATACAACATTGCTCTGTTTGTGCCGGGGCACCGGATCTTTGGGGTGAACCAGCCTTTGCCGTAATGTGTTTTGGGGTTTGAAAGCCACTGGGACATCATGTTTAGAAAATAAACGTCTCAGTTTCTCCGAAACACCGGCAACATACGGAATAACCACTGGTTTGGGTCTTGGTTTGGGGTCTTCATTTTCACCTGAAGGTTGCATGGARTCCTGTCTGTGTTTCCTGTCTGCTTTCAGGAACGCCTGAAAGGAATGTTGATTGAAAGCTCAGTTACAGTGGAAGTCAATGGATGTATGGAAACAAGTGATTTAGGAGAAAGTCATAAATCGTATCGCAGTGACAGACAGTAAAAACAGATCAAACTTACCTCAGTATTCATGGTAAACCTTCTCAAAGGTGTCAAGTTTAGGGGAATAAAAAGTAATATTTTTGTAAGGTTTAGTCAGCTCAAACGGTGTGTGATATGATCACGCTGTAAGTTAATAAATAATATCTGCAAAAATCATAAAACTTAGACTTTGATTGTGTCTAAACCATTGTGACGTGAGAAGGAGATATAAAATGACTGCAAACAATTCTACTTTATTCCTTCAGAACCAAAAGGCTTAAGAACACACCCCCTAAAACCCAAAGCCTGCTGGGTGAGAGAGACCTGTCCAACCTGTACACCACACCAATAAAGATATCAAAATGCTACTTATGTCATGTGAAGTCAATTTTTCTGTCACCCTGTTTAAATTCTGAAGGATATTTTCACTGTGAAGTCTGTCAAATAAGACCGGGTTTTCTCACTCGTTTTACTGAAATCTCATTGTCTGTGGCAAGAATCTCTTATATTGTCCTGCACAATTGATCTGTTTTAAGCTACTAAAAGTCAAAGCATGATACTCCCAACTCAAATAGTATGATTTGCTGAATATTTTGTGAGTTTTTTTCAGAACTGTAGGAGGAGTACTGAATCCAAAATGGTGACAGGAAAAGATAAATAATGGTCAAATAATAATTAGCGGGGTTCTGTACTCATGTTGGAACCCTGACAGTTATCTACTCTAAATTAAAAAAAGTTGAATAGGTCCTCTGGACAGGTTGTTCTTTGTTGAAAAAAGGTTTCGTCTCTTCTCCAAGAGACTTTATCAGTCTGAGGTGTTCCATGTAAACTCTGTTGAGATGCGTCAGGATATCCTCTCTAAGGTTGCGGCACGTTTAGCGAATGCTTCTGCCTCTCTTATTCTACTTTCCCTATGCTTTTTCTTTTGACCTTACTTGCTTTTCTTTTTAGAATAAAAGTGTTATTTTACTGTTTGATTCAAAACATTTCTCCCCCTCTGTGCAGGGAGTCCAACTACCACCCATCGCAACCTGACTTCCAACAGCCTGAGTGATTTCTCTGACAAACCAGAGAAAGACCAGGTAACATGTTTAGCTTCTACAGAAAACAGCTGTGGTCTCTGCTTACAGCAGGGCCACCTGTTGGGTCATTGTGTGTGAAACTCACATGGATTCCTTTTGCTCAGAGCAACAAAAGCCCTGTGTTTTTGTTGTACGAGTTTCTGTTGTGGAATGTGGCTTTTTTTGAGATTGAGTAATTGTGAACCTCTGAACTAGTGATGGACTGTGGGAGATAAACTAACATTTACAAAGGATAGTCTGGTTATTTTTTATGTGGTGTTCTGTCAAGTAGTTACCAATGGTTGTTAACTTTTCAGCCGTGCATAAGTCTTTGTTCAGGCTAGGCCAGTGGTCTGCAACCTCCGGCTCTGGGGCCAAATGAGGCTCTTTGGTCCCAATGAAGTTGTTCTTTGAAAATGTGACCAAACATAACAGAATGAATATATATATATATGTGTGTGTGTGTATATGTGTGTGTGTGTGTGTGTATGTGTGTGTTTCTTATGTATATGTATATATGTGTGCACATATGTGTATATACTGTATATATT